ATTCACCGCATTGGAGTAAAGTTTGCGCAAAGAGGTCATCGGAAGGTCACACCTATATGACCTTGGGTAAAACTTCGTGTGATTGTTGACTACATGCGAGTACATTTTGAATCAAATGACGACTGATGGCTGTTGCAATTCGAATCGTAAACTGAACACCGGTTTATGAACTGTAAGACGAGGATTGCTTATGACCGTAAAATGCACAACTTGTTAATCTTATAGTAGGTTTTTACTGTTGAAACGTATACAATAAAACACGTATTTACCTCAATTGTTTTTCAGAGAAAATCAGATAATTTTACCAGTGAAAATCCACGATTATACGTAGATGACAGTTCTAAAAGCTTTCGCAGTTTGGGATTTTATTTTACTCTTGAGTCATTCAACCTTCAATACTACGTATTTACAAGAGGAAATTTTAAAACTATTTTTACTAAGATCTTTGAAACCTAGTAAATATTTCACGCAATAAAACAAGTACAATTTCATTCATAATTTTCTAAATACACATCTAATCTTAAAAAGTAGTGTAAATTTTACATATCTTTAATAAGACGTAAAAATACCATGGATAAATAGCGTGAATAACCAAAAAATCGGTCCATTTATTTATAACATAAACCAATTTTTGTAGTCATAAGTACGGCCCTTTTTATTTGCACGCAGTGTACCACCTACAAATTTTCTATTGTCAAAACATTTCGTCTCGCCTTCCTGTAACGTGTTATATATATTTAGTCATAAGAGATTTTCTCGCGAGGTCACAACGAGTGAAGAACGCGCCAGAGCATTACGTAACATTCACAAGGTACGCGTACGCGCAATGCGTATTTTACTTAATAATTTGAACATCTTACTTGGATGGATTTATGGATAAATGGATGGATGTTTGTTTGAAAGTATCTCCTGAACGGCTAAGCGGATCTCGATGAAATTTGACATCCATAAAGAAGAAGCCTGGAAGAACACATAGGCTACTAATTATGTTTTTTTTTATTCTGCGTGGACGGTGTCGCGGGAGACGGCTAGTATAAATATAAAGTTCATAATAAAACTTTATCATGAAGTTTTCATACACATGTCGATAATGGAATCCAGATTACGCTAGAAATCTGTTGATTAATTCTTCTTAAAATTATAATTAATTGCATAATTAAATTATATAAAATTCATCATCAGCTCACTATACGTCCCCACCGAGGGACTCGGAGCCTACCCTAAGTTAAGGGTGATTAAGCCATAGTCAACCACGCTGGCCAAGTGCGGATTGGTTGACTTCACACATATCTTTGAATTACTTCTCAGATATGTGCAGGTTGCATCACGATGTTTTCCTTCACCGTAAGAACGTCGGATAAATGTACATATGTAAATCGGAAAATCGAAAAACACATTGGTACATGGCGGGATTCGAACCCACGACCTGCAAATTGCAAGTCAAGTGCTTGACCACTGAGCCACCGACGCTCATAGAAAATTATACCTAATAAATAATAAATGCGTTAAAATATTATTTTCAATAAAAATTCCTTGTTTTAATTAAATTAAATAAATATCAGTACAAAAAAGACGATTATTTAAAATCAGTAGATGTCAAATTTATTTCCTATTAGTGACAAGCGACATCTAGTAATAAAAAAAAGCAACAAAGAATCTTTAACAATATCAGAAACCGGATACTATTACTTCCAAGTCTTCAGTATGTCGCGTGTCATTGAGGGTCAATCGGAAGCTCAATAATAAGGCCGAGGAAAGGCATACAAAAGCAGCCAAAGGAAGCAGGCGTGTGCCATGATTCAACACAACGACAATATAATTGGAAAGAAATTGCTCTAAAGAAAGACCTTGCAAAAGATCGCAACAATGACCTTCACAAATAGACTAGTAAATATCGGATAATACATCCGATAATATCCGATATTTTTTTTAGTACTATCCGAATTACAGGATAATCAATTTTGAAAACTTAAACGCTATAAAGACGATACGATACGAACTCACATGATTAAAATCAAAGTAGACCACATAATACTTTTTAAAATGCGTGGACGTTCAATATCACCGTCTTTTCTCGCCATTTATTTTTATAACAAAAAATATAACAAAAGGAATGCGTTAAATTCAAATAATCTATTAAGAATTGAACTTATGTTGACCACTAGAGATATTCGAAAGAGATGTTTTAACAGCATAACCTTCATATTTACATTAAAGGAGGAAAACCAATGCAATATTGTAAGATGGCTACTATTTTAAAAGGATTATAATTTTTAAATGTACCTACTAAAGTTGACATATATGACCCATGTTTATAGACATTCGACTTATCTTTTGATTACTATTGGAAGATAGCCTTGGGACTGAGATTTACCACATGGCAACTGATTGGGGCAAATTTAAACCCGTCATTAGATAAGTATTTAATACTAGTCGCCTGCGACTACATCCACCCGGAATTAAAAAAAAGTTAATTAGTAGCCTATGTGTTCTTCCAGACTATGTTATACATCTATGCCAAATTTCAGCGAAATCCATGGAAACGTCCTGGAAATACTTTTAAACAACCATCCATACATCTAAACATTCGCATTAATATTAGTAAGATTCAAGATACTTGTGTCATATCTAAACACAAATTTCAATGCATTTTTCTATATCTGTTTTTAACTAAACAAGTTTATGTACACTTCAGTACTTTCATAAGGTTTTATACACACAAATTATCTATTTCGAACATGCAAATCCATCGAACTCAAAACAAAGATATACTCATTTGCATACGCGTTACTAGATGTGGCTACGTGACTTCAGTCATGAACTTACGCGATTAATCATGTTACGTGAACTAGAAACGTCACTATTTACGTACGTTACCTTCCTAGATCTAGACAACGGCAATGTTGGCTGACGTATGGCCAACCAATTTGGCAAAAATTTTACAATATTCTGCAACTTTTATGACCTGATAGAACTTAATAAACGGCAAAGATTTGTCCAATGAATTTGGATATAGTGGAGCTATTTTGAACGACAATCGTGAACCTATCATGGTATCAATAAAAAGTATATCTTTCCAAAGCTATGCCTAGTTAAGGCGTAACAACTGGAAGTGTCACATTAATTTGGCAAAGTCGAGTACGCTCCCACTTAACGGTTACACCGAAGAAAAAGTCAGACTGTCGGGTAAGAATTAAACGGTCACGAATAATAAATAAATACTTTCACGCTATCCTAATTCCGACAAATTCGAAATCTTGGTTACGAAAAACTTAGTGTTAAATATCATAAGTATTGAAATGAAGGATTATCACGAAATGCAATCTCAGATTAACAATTTCATCATCATCAGCTCACTATACGTGTCCTCACTGAGGGGATCGGTGCGTAACCTAAGTGAAGATTAACTGAGAGAATAAAAGAGTGTTACATTGTTATAAAGTATGTTACCAATATCGTAGTATATAGTAGGGTGACCAAAAAAATTTAGGACATTGGTATTGGTAATGTTTACTTAGATACAGTTTAATTAGAGCTCTATCGAATGTGCTATGCGTAACCTGTCTTTTATTTTTTTTAATATTTTTTTCACGTTATAGATAATTTTATTTACGGTAAATTTGTAAGTATTACTTGTGAGAACAACAAGAAACAAAAAGAGGTTAAGAATTAATTTTCCCATTACGGTGAAAGGAATATGTGCTTTTCTAGCGAATATCGTACGATGTAAAAGTTGTATGATTAATATTAAACGATCCGAGAAAAAAACTGACTTTCGATTAAAAGAACGAGAATCAAAACGGCACAGAATTCTAAATTCAAACGGTTTGACAATGGCGCCAAATGACGTCACCAATCTTCTGACAATTAAATATGTAAATTATGACATTAAAGCACGTGGCGTAAGGTATTAATGCGTTTAGATAACACGATACAAGGTCACTGGCCATTACATGCCTTGCTCTGATATTATTTAGTCTTTTTCCAAACGCATCAGTACAAGACATCCAAGGAAAACGTACAAAGTGCTTTCACTTTCATAACATTTATACCCTGTTTACATTATTCCAGTCCAGCGATCGAAACCAGTGGTATACCAACATTGAGTTATAGAGCCATAGAGTCATCATTTCTCCAATTGATACAGCGCAGATTTCAATCGCTGGACTGGAATAAAGCGGGATTTATCCAAAAACATGCCTCTCATTCTCTTTAAAAAATTTAGTACAAATATATGTTTTAATACATGTGTAACAACAGTGGAAACCCATTATAATATTAATATTAATTACATACTAAACGCGACAAGATACATTTCTGCATTGATATATGAAAAAAGAAAAAAAAAACAAAAGATGAGCTTAAATCACGACAAAAGAAGATCATTAATCTCTGCCTACCTATGTAGGTTAAGGGCGTGATTATAAAAAAATGTATATAATAATATATGAAATGCTTCACAGACAAGTAAAGTAAATAAATAACTCATATGTGCTTTTTATAAGGCATATAGCGAAAGTTGTAAAACATGTTTCAGTAGTAACGACGATATAAAATACTTATAATAAAAAATATTGTTAAATCGATATTAACGGATATTTATTCGAATATTAAATTAAGAATTTGAACAAGGAATGTCACCTTCTCGTATGATTCCATTTTTAAAATTTTAATAAAAAAAAATATTTAGCGTTTTATGTCATTCTTTATTTGAATCCGACACCTCAGTTACTGCACCTCTGTAACCACTGAGCTATTGGCATTAAATAAGTCTGACAATATTTTTAAAAATCAATTAAAAATATTGTAAAATAAATTCTACGCATTTGTGTTTGATATTTATATTAGTTTTGACTTAGCTAAAATATTTACTCGTCACGAAGCGACCAGTATTGTAAAACAGTCAACTCATAATATTCATAACAGCCGTCTTTATCGTTCAACTACCTAGCCGTGCGTAACACAGATAATAAATATATATTAATGAACTAAAAACTTACGTGTGTTCAAACTCGATGCACTTTCGAAACGTCAGTTGACACGATTATTTTTCTAATTCATTAGTTAAACCGCGCACAGTTCACAAACAGTTCTCACTTTCGTACCGTTTCCAATAGGATCGTATTCAATTGTGGTTATAATGTAACTCAAACTGAATTCTCAACATTCACATACACTTTGTAGGTAACAGATATTATTCCAACAGACCTGAAATAATCACACAAACGATATTTTATTAACACTGGCACATCACTAAATATCACGTAAAATATCACATTCGAAACACAGCGGCTTGACGTTCAATTGCAACTAATCTTAAATTATTATCTACGCGAAACCCGCTCTCCTATGCCTACGTATTCTTAAATAAATAAATACAGCGATAAACGAGTTTAAAGAAATTTCGCTTATTATAAGATAGCTGTCGTTATGCGGGACGTAAACTTTTTTCCGGCTAAAAAGTTTTTGGCCTGCAGCGTTTCGTAAGAGTGGAGGCGATGGTCAAGTCGTATGTGTACTGAAATCGGTCCAAATCCGCTACCGGCCGCACGTAACACCGCGTGGAAACTTTACACCGAACGCAAATTTTCACTGCACTCGCAAGACATTTTCCTAGCGGCCTTCGTCCGTTGCATTGTTATGCAACTGCAGATCGTGCCGGCACTTTTTCGAATCGCGCGTAAAACTAGCGCGAAAAATCATAACCTCAAAAAAAAATTCGCGAACATCTAAACCGCGGCCGCCGTATTTCCGATTGTGATATTTTCATATTTTTTTTTTGTTAGCACGAATCGAACACTTGATTATGTTAGCGAATGTTTTATCGGGAACGTTTTCGGGTGCGCGGCGTGGTGGGGGCTCGGAGCGACGTAACATGTCCGACCCGGGCGGGATCTCGCGCGATACTGGCGGCACTCGCTTGCCGCTATTCGGATATCTCGACACTCGACTCGACCACCGATACAGTGTCTTCGAAAAAGCTTCCACACCTCTATAGCGCGAACCGACTAACAAAAACCAGACGAATTACTACGGACTTCCCGAAATTTTTTTTGTGTTTACTTGCCCTTTCACTTGCTCACGCGATTGCACAAGCGGTTGTCTAAACGTTCAAACAAATTCTATAAGATTCATTTTGGAATTGAAAAATGTTACCCATCTGCCTAATACGTGCTTAACTTATATAATCTAAACAATTTAATGTTCCTACTCACCCACTTTGAGTTCCTTCCGTAAACACGGTTTACAACACTTACGTACTAAATATATTAAACTCTCCTGGAATTAATTATAATCGGACTGAGGAAGGCGCCATAGATATTAAGTAAAAAACTTAATACTAACTTGGACTTAACAGTAGAGCCAACTGATTCTAAGTGAACTTTTGGAGCTCTCGCGCTGGGAAGTATAAAATGTTTTATGGAATGTTTGCAATATATTATGAAGCTACTAGCTGTCACCTCAGAGTCAGTCCACGAAAAATTAAAAAAAAAACTTAATTAGTATCCTATGTGTTCTTCCAGACTATGTTTTACATCTATGCCAAATTTCATTGAGATCTGTAGAGCTGTTCTGTAGATATCTTCTGATAAATATCGATTCATTTATCCATACATCCAAACATTCGCTTTTATATTCATGTTAAGTCAAAAATAATTGCAGCGCTCTAAACCTTATAGCTATGACGTTGTAGAGTCCTTAATAAATAGTAATTTAGAAGTAAAAGAATCGACGTAACCATTTTCTATCATATCTAATAATATTTATAGTTTTTATTTTTAGCTATCATTTATCATTTAGTTACGGTAAATGTTAAATTCGATCTAAATAACACTTGTCAAAATATAATCGATTTTTAATCGATTCTAAAATAAAATAATAATTTTACACGTTTATGAGGTCAAATTCCAAATTAAGAAGTGACTAATGGCTGATTTTGTAAAAAAAAACAGTAGTAGATATTATAAAATAAAACGTAATATTGCGTAATTTTGTCATTTGAAAATAGTAACAATTTTTATTATATGTAGAGTGACCATAAATTCGTCACTCAGGAAAACTGTTCTTTTTTAAAATAATTCTTCTCTTAATCTTAACTTAGACTCGGAGAATATGTTCGAAATATTTAAGTTACTAGCCCGGAGTACTTATCACCCAGGAGTCCGTCCGCGCGTAATTAAAAAAGATCTTAAGTAGTTGTGTTCTTCCAGACTTTGTTCTTGATCCGTTGAGCTATTCTGGAGACACCTTCTCACATTCATCAATATAAACTTTCGCATTTATATTAGAAAGATATTCTGTAGAACAATTTTTCAATTTATTAAAATCTTGTAATAATCTTACATAAAAGTTTAAAAAAAAATTAAAACAACCCAACTTAATTCAAAATCAAAACAAAATTATTCCAGATTCATCTACTTACATTTAACATACAAATCAGAACCAAAAAACTTAAAAAAATATGAAAACATTTCACCGAAAGCATTTTTCCTTAACTTAACAAACACTTAACTTAAGCCATTCAATAAACGAGTACTTCCTCTGACGTCATAAGGTTCTCGATTACTTTGAATCATTATGACACAATGAACTTTAAAAGCCTTCAAGTTCATTGTAACAAACAAATTGCTCGGTTTTTTCAAACATTCGTAATGAACACTGAGGTTTTGAATTCTTTTGAATATGCAATTTGAAAATTAGCTCTTGAATATATTAAGAAAATTGTGGTTAAACGAATACCTTCGTTTAAAATTGATACTACAACCAAATCTGTATTTCCACTTAGCTGTTAGCCGCTTGTCTACCGCGCGCGGGTAGAGTCGCGCTGGTAGCTTAGTGAAAAAAGGCTTTAAGTAGATGCGGTAATGTCATAGTTATTAACAGAAAAACTGATAAACACATATATGTATTAGTAGCCTACATGATATATTATTTTTTACTTCGGCTATTTTTTAGTTTCGAGTTTAGTTTTTAAAACTTTGTATTTACTTAAAGTCAACTTATACGATGACGTAACGCGCACGTAGCGCCTACGTAACGACTATGTGCTAATTAACGCTGCGACGAACTGTTGAGTTCAAAGTTTAAATAAACATATCCGTCTCCAACAAAAGTTCATGTAAAAACACAAAAAATGGGATTGATAGCTTTTTAATACAAGTGATATATTTATAAATGTCTATAAAGAAGGCATTTATTGGTCATAATAATGTTATTCTTCAATTTAAAACCTATTACTTTAGTCCTATTATGAAAATTTTTACAAGCGCCATCGTATCGTAATCGATAAAAGTATTACGGAGGCCTTACTTAGTCCTCTTTCCCTTCCCACCCTTTTTGTTATAAGGAAAGGATGGGAAGTGGAAGTGGACTTTCCGGATGAGAGGATGCATGGAAGGGGAAAATATTTTCTTTCTGTGCATTCTCTCCTCCGTCGATTAAAGGTAGGCAACGCATATGCAATTGCGTATGTCTATGGGTATCGGTCACTTCGCTATATCAGAGATTTCAGGTGGCCGCTAGCTCGTTTGCCACCTTATGATATAAAAAATATATATATTCATTTGTGCAGCGCCTCTATCGGTCGTAAAATACACCAAAAATCTCACACTTATTTTGACAATTAAAATTTTATATTAATTACAATTCTATCAGTCATAATTCTTATAGTAAATTTAATTTAAATTATTCAAACTTTCGTGAGACATTATACTAAACTGATATATAAACACCGACTAGTTTCGAGCCCAACGGGGGCCCTTCATCAGGATGAGTGGCGCTGGTATTATTTCGCGGACGCGTCCGGCTCGAAACTAGTCGGTGCCGTCACCGAACGTATATACGTTAGTGTTTAGCCGTGTTTATATATCAGTTTAAATTTAATTTGTAACTATTCGTCTTTTATCAGTTCAATATACAAAGTAATATTATAGGATAATTTCATGAAATCTTTTAGTAGTTCAATGCTATGAACATTAAAAGGACAATGAAAATTGCTTAAACTAAAATCGGTAGCGCAATTAAATGCCTGTTAATTGATGTCCATTACTGATTTCTGCAGCAAGATGCCTTCGCCATACAGCGGCGAGCAACTCAATGATGCCCGTTGCCAGGCGGGATAGAGCTGTGACACTCGGGTTTGAAAGTATCGATACACTCTTTCATTTTAATTTCTTCAAATTCTGAAACCTTCATCTTTTTTCAGACGTAGTAAACAGTATCATCTGTTCTTCCATGAACTCCTTAGATTTCTCCTGGATCAATTTGAGAATCACTGCTATAAATTTTCTTGTAGGAAGAGTCTATAAATGCAGTAAGTATGTTCAAGAACGTTCTTGTACTGATATTTCATTATAAAATGTACTTCTTTATGTATAATAATAATATGGTCAACAAAACTAGTCCCAATAGTGTAGTAGAGTAGAATTAAGGGCAAAAATTTGCAGACATACGTCAAGAGATGTCATTGCAAAAGAACTTCAGAATTGGTATAAAAAAATTCAAATAATTTTACAACGCTTTTACATTACTTTTTTGATTACACTTATAAATCGTCATAATTATTAATTAATATTTCAACTTTAAATCTAAACTATTCAATAAAAATTGGATTTTAAATAACTTAAAGTCCTTATCGATATCGATATGGGAAATAAATCATTTATCGACAACGTAAACATCACTAGACATGTTTTATCGGTTTCCAAACTTGGTTCTGGAGTCGAAGATGCTCCATTGGAAAACTAAGCACGTAACAATCTGTTTTTACATGTGTAACGTAGCAAGAAAAATATTTCGGGACTCTTGTTTTCTTAATGGTCAGTATATCTTATTAAAGTTGGGTTCTATACTTACATATGGATATTTTATGAGGGAACAGACGATTGCATCGCTTGGAATTCTTTCCTTATAAAAATCATGTAACTACATAGGTTCTTGGCTCGTAATAGCAATATAGGCTGTTCGTAAGCAAGGTTCTTTGCCCAAAGTTATCCTTAAACGAAATAAGTTAACTTAACAGAAACAAAGCTTTTAATTTTTGTAATATTTAACTAGTTTCACTTACAGTTAGATTTTTGTTTAGTACTATTTATGAAGGCCATGCTTCATTTTTTTTAAAGACAAAAAATTTATCGAGCACACGCGAGTCGTTTACTCTATCGAATCACTTATACAAAAACATTCTGTCCCTTTCATTCTTTGTACAAAAGACAGGGACATGTTTATATTTGTATCTATATTTCTTTGGTGTAAAATAACGTGTTGTCTTCCGAATACATGACCATGTATGAAGCAATCTGCCTACAAACATTGACCGATGATCGATTAATGATTAAACAGATATTGATGATGACCACATTTTTTACGTAACGGTAAATCTCCACTGTCCTAACACTTATATAACATCACAATTGTAATAAGTTTTAGGTTTAAAACTGTTATTTACTACGAGAAAAAACAGAATGAGTATTCGCCTCAGTAAAATTAATTCAACTTAGTAACTCAATTACAAGTAGTGTGTACCTGTAGGACAAATGGCTTAAATTTACCTAAGTTTAATTTATATGCTAGAAGAGTTAAGTAAAAACAAACAATAAAGTCATTTAAGAGTAAAGGCACGATGATGATTGTTGGTTACAACTAGCTCCATCTGTTGAAAAAGTTTTGTAAACTTCAAGATGAAAATAACAAGAATATAAAAATCTCGTTTTCACTGCAAAACTATATTTAAATAATAAACTTAGATATAACTCTTAATAAAAAATTATTAAAATTTAAAATCAGTGGTAATATCTTAGTAATATCCATTTGTAAACAAAGAGCGCCATCTAGTTTCATGACGAATCTAGGAGCAAATTACGCCATTATAAAGTTAAGTCACAAACTTTAGAATTCGTGATAAAAGAATACTAATACGTTAATTTAGTGCACTTTATCAATTTAAAGACGTAAATGTTAGGTTACATTAATTTAATGAACTTAAAAAATAAGATGATTGCTTTTATTTGTATATTCCCAAACTGAACTTATACGAAGACTTGCTCTTTGCTTTGACGTTGACGTATGACGTCATGTGACAACTCAACTCAACCTAAAAAATCTACATACCAGTCTTTTTTAGCCTAAAATATTTACTTTACTTTAGAAAATGCTTTCTTTTTATTGTAATGTTTAAAAATATTTTTCATAACATTAGCAGTTTAGTAAATTATTCATCCAAATCAAAGTACAGTATTATCAAACGTTTTATTTCAACAAACATGAAGGTTGGTATACTCATTAAGGCCAAAAAACATGTTAAATTGAATTAAACATTTTGTTTAAAGAATTGAAAACATCTCTTCACAAAATATTACTGTGTTCTCACCAGTTTTTCACACTTATAAATTATTAATCACGGTAGGTAATTACTTTTAAACAAATCGCTTTTACAGATCGGAACTCATGATGGTGTTTTTCATTGCGACGAGGTTCTGGCTTGTTGCATGCTAAAATTATTACCTAACTTCAAAGATGCGGAAATAGTACGTACAAGAGACATGGAGAAACTAAACACGTGTGACATAGTTGTGGATGTTGGTGCTGTCTTTGACCATGACAAACAGCGCTACGATCATCATCAGAGAGAATTTAATGAAACATTAAGTACAGTGAGACCAGAACTAGGTGATAAGTATAAAATCAAGTAAGTAATATTTTACTATAGTAAAAACTGCTATCATGTTGATTAAAATGTAGATTATGACAAACAAAATTAGATCCCAGTTGCATGCCACATAGCTCAACCTTAAGAACAATTCTTAGGCTTGCAATGCTTCAAATATCTTTGGCCTGATGTCATCAGAGCTCTGTTCCAATACACCTAATATTGCATTAAGAGCTGCCAAGATATCTGTATAACATTATAAAAAGACTTATCTGTTATGAATGAATCAATATTCTATCCCTTTGAAAAATTATAATCTGTTTGTTGTAATCCATCCAAACATTCACATCTATAATATAATATAAGTAGGATAAAAACAATGTTACATCATCATCATCAGCTCACTATACGTCCCCACCGAGGGCCTCAGAGCCTACCCTAAGTTAAGAGTGATTAGAGCATAGTTCATTGAAATGTATTCATCTGACTAATTTCAGGTTGAGTTCTGCAGGTCTTATTTATGCATACTACGGTGAAAAAGTAATTCATACTCTCCAACATAAGGATACATCTTTAAGTGATGATAACGTAAAAGTTATCTTTAAAAAGGTCTATGAAACCTTGATTGAAGAAATAGATGGCATTGATAATGGAGTACCAATGACGGTTGAAGAACCAAAATACAGAATTCGTACACATTTAAGTAATCGTGTTGCAAGACTAAATCCCGAATGGAACTGTAAACAAACAGTTGATTTAAATGAAGTTTTTAAAACAGCAATGAATATGGTTAGAGAAGAATTTATGTTTGTGGTTAATTATTCAATATCAGTATGGTTGCCAGCTCGTAATTATGTGAAATCTGCATTAGATAGTAGGTTTGAAGTACACAAATCTGGACAGATATTGGAATTCAAAGAGAGGTTTCCTTGGAAAGAACATCTGTTTGATTTGGAAACTGAAATGGGGTTAGGACGTCAAACTAAATATGTTATTTTTAATGATAAACCTAATTCATGGAGAGTGCAAGCGGTTTCTTTAGATCCTCTTAGCTTTTTATTAAGGTTAGTACGATAATTTATCAGTAATCTTAAACTACTAAATACTTCTTACTAATATTATAAATGCAATAGTTTACATGGATAGATGTTAGTTAGAAGGTATATCCAGAATGGAATGGATCTTGACGAAATTTGGCACAGATATAGAACAAAGCTTGGAAGAATACATAGGCTGCATATTAAGTTTTTTTTTTTAATTCCGTGTGGAGGGAATCGAGGGCAATCACTAGTAACTTATAAAATATTACCAACTCAGTAATTCTCCTTGAAAAAACTGAGTACAATAAATTTTTAAAGGTTTTATAGCTGTGAATACTCTTGACATGCTTTGGTATTAAATAAATTCAATGAACTCAACTAATTTAGTTAGATTTTTTTATAGTATGGTAGCAATTTATCATTTATTTAAAAAGAAGTTATCAATACTAATATTATAAAGAGAAAAGGTTTGACTGAATAAGCTCCAAAATGAATGAACCGATTTACAAAACTCTTTCACCATTTAGAATCTAAACTATCTTGTGACATAGTATATATTTAATAGCAGTCTGCCCCGACTCCGTCTGCAAGGCATAAAAAAAACTTAATTAATAGCCTATGTGTTCTAACAACTAATTTTCAGCGAGATTCATGCAGCCGTTCTGAAGATACCTTCAAACAACTATCTATCCTTCTAAATAGATAAACAGTGGTAGAGCCCGCTTTAACATCTTCGCACGAATTGGCCCGGCTCGCCCGGTGAAATACCACGACCACACAGAAGACAGGCGTTAAGTGGAAGCAATTCCGTGTTTCGTCTGATGAGTGTGCGTCCCAGAGGCTTAATTTAGTCCTCTTTCCCTTCCCAACTTTTTTCTTATAAGGAAAGGATAGGAAGTGGAAGTGGACTTTCCGGATGAGAGGATGGATGGGAAAGGAAAATATTTTATTTCTGTGCATCCTCTCCTCCGTGGATTAAAGGTAGGCAACGCATATGCAATTTGCGTATATCTATGAGCAACGGTTACTTCGCTATTTCAGCGATTTCAGGTGGCCGCTCGCTCGTTTGCCACCTTATGATATAAAAAAAAAGGTTACCAGACTTGTTTAATAAAACAATTTGTTTTATTCATTTTAGGAAGCCACTACACAAAGATTGGTGGGGTGTTAGAGATGAAATACTCTCCAATGTGTCAGGTATAGACGGCTGTATCTTTTGTCATAGTAATGGGTTCATCGGTGGCAATGTGTCAAGAGATGGTGCTTTGAAGATGGCTATTGCTAGCTTGGTAGCCAATGAATGATATACATAATAAACTATACTTATACATAATCTTTGTATCTTTTTTTTCCTTTATCATATACCTTTTGAAATAAGAGACACGAATCTTACTAATATTATAAATGGGAATGTTTAGATGGATGTTTCTTTGAAGTGTGATCTCCGGAACAGCTCAACAGATCTTGATGAAATTTAGTAATGTTGTAGAACATAGTCTGGAAGAATTCATAGACTACTAATTAAGTTTTTTTTTCATTCCGCGCAGTAATAAAATAAAAGATTTAAAGTTAGATATTATACTTGAATAGTAAGATAAAGGTAAAAAGATAAATCTTATATCCTATATAATATTTTTCTTAATTTTTTCCATTATTAACAATAATTTTATCATCATCTTTCACTTCATCAACATTCATCACAACTTCGTCACTGTCCTTGTCAACTTCATGACCATTTTGCTCTTTAGATTCATCACCATTTTTCATGTCGATTTCACCGTTTTCCTTGTCAACTTCATCAACGTTTTCCTTATCATCATCATCATCTGACTCCTGTTCGTTCTCCATCTCCTTTTCAACGGGTACATCTTCAGATGGCTCATAGTTGTGTTTACTGAGTTTCTCAAGCCAAAATCCCATAGAATTATCTTCGATTTCGCCCTTAACTATGTTAGGGTTTATTTTTTCCTTTTTAAATGTCTGAACCAACTCCTCTTCAGCTTCCCAAGTGAGACTGTCATGACTATCTTTGAATTTTGCATCGTATCTCTCATAATGGACCTGAGAAAATGAAATTAATTTCAGACATTACAGTATATGAAATACTATAATGAGTCTGCAATCATAAAACGTATTGTCATCCCTTTCGTTCCCTTAAGAAAAAAAAGGAGATAGTTACGTTTTATGTTTGGGCGGTAAAGCGATACAATTAATAGAATTGAAGTGTCTGTATGTCATAAAAATTCCTGAACGTAATGTATTTGCGATGGTCTTAACTAAAATCTAAATATATTTTTTTGTCTGTTTGACGGGTATTGGTAGGTAGAGTTGAGCTTTATTTGCAATTAAAATTGACAATATCCCTAACTTTCTCAAGATTAATAAGGATTATTGATTTAAATTACCGAATCTCTGTCCTCCAAAAGCATAAAGTACTCTCTGATGAATCCGACTCGAAGGACCATATGTCAAAGTTATTCGATGTGAACTTTTTGCATTTAATAATGTATTTTATTGGCACTCACAAATAGGATATGAACAAAATGCGTTTAAATTATTATATTAAATGTGCTTCCGTCAAATGTCAATGGTTGAACAACACCGATTTAGCCAAAGAAAAAACAATTCAACTATTTTTTTACAATTCTAAGAATCTTTATAGTCTTTTAAATTATAAGTCAACCATAACACAGATATTTTAAAGACTTACCTTATCCAGCACTAATCCTAGACCAGGCGCAGTTGGGATCATAACTTTATCTTTGCCGAATGCCTTCTCTAAAATTGAGATGTCTGTGTGTCCTCGCACAATCGCAATCATCAGGCCAACCATCTTCCTGATTTGGTGAAGCATAAAACTTTGGCCCTGTATAATTAACTTGGATTTACTAAAAGTTGAACTGCCGTTATATATTTTTGTAGAAAAATGGATTAAAAATATTTTTGCAATATTTATCTTGTTACAATTCCTTCAAATGTATACTGTTACTTCTAATATTTATCATACTATTACAAACACAACATTTTGGATGGATGTATGTGGATCACCAAAATGGCTTCTCAGATATCGATGAAATTTGGCATCTGTGCCAGATGTCTGATAGTCTGGAAGAACAAATAGGCTATTTACTAAGCTTGACGAGTTTACTCAAAAAGTCCTAGTGGCATGAAATGTGTCAATTTTGTAAGAACTTACCTTAACCAATAATTCAGCAAACTCCCAATCTGAATCCACAAACACTCTATCCAGAGTAAAGCTCATCATATATCTGGATGCTGAAGGATCTTGGTAATGTCTGAAATTAACATTTATTTTTATAAGTTTATCAATCTAGATTCTAGTTTCTAGGTCTAATAGTAAGGGATAAAGTTTTTTATCTAGCATGTAAATCTGTTTATTAATTTCTAAAAATGTTTAAGTCGGGGTAGAAACTAAAAAATGCCACTCCCATCAACTTATTTCACTTTTAAGTTCATTCTATTATAAAAGTTAGGTAAATGATCAGTTTCAAAGTTTAAATTAATGTGTAAACTGAAAATCTTGCCATCCCCTGAACTTGCCGAGGCATGAACCCCGGCTTGCCCTCCCTTGGATCTGGGACTATTTGTATGTATAAGTTACAAAAGCCTGTCTTTACTTAAACTACTACTTACTTCTTTTCTGTAAAGTTATGATAACTTTTTGTTCCAATATAAACAGCCAACACATCATTAACTGCCTTCAATTTGTCCTCCGTTATTCTGTACAATTGTTTCTCTTTATCACCAACCAAAGTTGGTTCAAAAACGTACGTTGGAAGAGTATAGCTATATGTGCGTGCATTACATTTGATTTTTGAGTTGAATTTATTTGTTACTCTTTTCACACCAAACACTTTAATGTTCTCCGGTAAACGTTTATTGATTTCCTCAATATCAATTTCCAGAGCTATAATAAAAATAAATCTCTTGTTAATTCTTTATTCTTTAAATAGATAGTAGATTGAAACTCGGAACACTATTATAAAGTCTAATAATATTGTTTAACAAGAAACATGTTAAAACCCTCATATAGCCCCATATAAGATACATACTAGCCGTCGACCGCGCTTCAGTCCGCGAGTTGGAAAAAACTAAATAAGTAACCTATGTGTTCTTCCAGACTAATTTCTATATCTGTACCAAATTTCATAAAGATCAGTTGGGCCTTTCTGAAAGGTAACTGCAAACAAACATCCATCATAACATTCGCATTTATAATATTAGTATGATTCTGTCTTACCAGATTTAAGACTTGTAAAGACTGATTTAAAAACTATTTTACTTTGGTAAATACTTACGTAGCTTAAGTGAGACAACTTGTCGTGCTGCGGAAACGCCTTTGTCAGTTCTGGAGCTCCTCTGGAATTGGGCGTTTTGTTGGTTATTGAAATCTTCCTCTGATATATACTTTGCCTCAAACAGTGCCTTCAGCAGATCCTCTTCAATAGTTCTTACTCCAGGATTCCTATTTACAATAAAACAAAAATTACTCTATATGTTCTCTTTTGTAAAAAAATTTTTCTTGTGTGATTTAAAAAATGTTTTTCAATTTTCCTTTGTACTTGTCCTTGTTTTACAATTGGGTTGGATTTTTTCATCAACAACCAAATTTGGAAAAAAAAAGCATTAGCATTTTTCATTTCTTACCTTTGCATGCCATAGTAATCTACTCCACAGTAACCCAACAGCATGGCCATTTTCTTCTTTTTTATTCTTTCAAATGTCGGATCACATGGTTTCTTTCCATCCGTCTCGCCATCTTCTCTTTTATCCTTATTTTCATCTTCCCATTGACGTTTGTTACGTTGCATATAGCGAGTAAATTTCTTATCACGGACTTCAGTTTGTGTTGCTGCATCAATTTCTGAAATGTGACTTAACAATATATAAAAAATAACACGATTTTTTACATTAATATATGACTACTGTACTCCAATGACACTCAGAAAAATGTAAATCAAATAACACCTCACTCGTCATATGTTCTACATCTATGCCAAATTTCACAGAGATTGAATAAGCCGTTTTAGAGATACCTTATAACATCCCATCCATCCATACAACAAAACATTTGGAGTTATAATATTAGTAAGGTTCACCCGAGACTTTGTCTTGCCTTAACTAAGAATATTGAACTTAAGTGTTCTGCATTTTAACATTTTGAAATTTTTCCATCTGTTCACGTATGATTTGATGACCAATAGAAAACATTCATTTTAGGTATATATATTATCACTAGCTGTTGACACGACTCCATCCGTGCGGGATTAAAAATAGATGATGGCCGATTCTCAGACCTACTCAATATGCTCACAAAATTTCATGAGAATCAGTCAAGCCGTTTCAGAGGAGTATGGGAACGAAAATTGTGACACGAGAATTTTATGTATAAGATTATCATAATAATAATATAATTGGTTATTGCAAAGTATTAACCAAATCAAACCAAAAGGCAATCTTGTTCTTTGCAGATAAAGAATAGAGGCTACTACTGCTAGAATACAATTACAATAGTATTTACAACTATCAAAAAAACAATCATAATTTATCTTCTCAATATGTTTATATTTAAACAATTTGTAACAAAATAGCTTACCTATAACATTTTTAGGCTGTGTTTGAGTAGTTGCATCCATGCCTGTTACAGTTCTTATTTGCAAACCTAAAAAGAAGCAATTTAGTTATTACAAATGACAAATATCTAGTCGTCCTAGTAATAAATTAGAATAACAGAAAAAATACCAAGCTAGTGAAGAACAGTAAATAATTTCATAAACTTGAGAGTTATTGATTTTGTATTTCACATGTTACCAATCTTTTTAAAATAGCGAAGTGACCCCTGCCCATAGACATCCTCAATATGAGTATGAGGTTATGTTTTGAATAAAGCCAAAAAATAATGTGCATTAAACTTTGTAGATAAATGATTATGGACAAAATAATAAAAATGTAATAATGTGTGATGTTATAGACAGACACGTTTAATAATTATGCTATAATACCTGATCTTGTTATGGTATGTCGCGGCAGAGTCTGTCTTATTGTACATACAAACGAGGTTAATAATTTTAAGGACATACCTACAACAACATAAAAGAGCACACACTTTAAATATACTTTTGACGATAATATTTATGTTTGATTTCTTATAAATTTATAAAGTTCCCGACATTATTATCTCTCCCTTGACTTATTTTGCAAGTAGGAAACTCAACTGTCATTTCTGGTCCGTGTTATGTCAATCTGATATCTATTCATAAGATTGCCAGTAAGTTACTATTTTAAAAAATAAGATTAATTTTAAAGGTCCTGAAAATATGCTTATATTTTATTTATAACTTTTTAAGCTAAAATCCTAGCATCAAAAATGTAATATTACACCTGTTCTTTTTTCTGACAACCTTATTCTGGAATGTTTCGATGCGCATGCGTGGATTCAGCGCATGCCTAAATGTTATATTAATGAAGAATGTAATATTCATTCACAATGGGTTGAGGCAGTGATAAAAATGAGGGGCGGAAGCTCAGAAAGATTGGTTGTGCGTGCCTCTCGCAGAAGAGGAGAAACACGCGCAAAACTAACTAAGTATATAACCGTTGTGTTAGCTACCATTCTTAGTGGAGGTGGTTCTGCACTCCTTTTCTTAGTTCCATTGTACGCTGACCCAGCGTTGAGTGCCCTAGCGGCCGACTTTGACCCAGTGCCCGCGGAATGTGTAACAGAGAGGCGTGACGACAGACTTGGTCTGGATAATTGCACTTGGGCGTCTTGCAGAGAAGGTTGCACGAGTGACGCCTATAAGTGTATTCAATTGCACGTGAAATACAAAGCGTATAGCGAAGAATGGCGGCCCGCCGTACTCTACGTCAATATAAAGGGATGCGGGTATCCTCCGGTGGTTGATTGCGACAACTTTACTATTAATTATGGATACGTCGGTGCTAGATATCCATGTTACTGGTCGAGAGCGGACAATACTGTGGTTGTACCACGCTGGTCGCGAGGAGAGCAAGTGGCTACCGTAACTAGGACCTTGGCGTTGCCGTTGTTTCTTTCCGGGTGCGCTGGTATTGGGCTGTGCGCCCTGCATTGTGAATGCAAACCCCGTCGTCGCCGTCGCCCTCCGCGCCGCCCTCCCCGCCTGCCGACGCTTTCACCAGACGAAACATCGGTATATAGACTAGGTTAGTTTTGCTACAAATCTTCCAATTTTGAGTGTTTACCTACCTTATGGCACAAAGATAACTACTAGATATTCCATTGTACATTCTATAGTAAGTAAATGTGTGTAAATAATACAATGGAGTTTTATTTAGTCTTAATGACCCACAAATGAAGGCCAAATTCCCTTCCCTAGAACCCTACCATATGAACAGTCGTTCTGAAATCTAGGAACCGAAGATCGCTACAAAAATCATATGACACTACTTATTGGGAATTCATCACGATTGATGTCTCTGCTTATCCGATCTTCCTTCAAAGCCGAGAGTTTCGAGATTCAAATATATCTTTTAAATGTCTTCGTTCAACGACAATTGCGACATTATGGTCTGAAAACATGTTTAAAAAATAAAATGAAAGACGACATAAATACAATGCATTATGCTTGTTCGTGCTACCGTGAATTACGAACAAAAAGTTCCACTGTAATTTATACAGACAATAGCTTTTGTTAAAATGCAGGCCATAAAAGTCGTCTATCTTAAATAAAAACCAATTGCATTTTTTTCTCTTCAGCCAGTAATTGACATGTCAAACGGAAAAACGGTCATGGCCTTTGAAAAAAGAAATGCTATAGAATCCACTGAATAAATCGCGAAGATATAACCTTGTAATTAAGTACCATTAAAGTCATAAACTACGTTCAAGAGTGGCCCTTAAGGTCAAACAGCACTTGAAAACATCGATCCGCGTCTTCAAATATAGGCTAATGTAGCTAGCAGATTTTTCCCTCATAAATGCATAGTCAGAGAATTAAACAATATGAACAAACGATATGTGTTTATAATTTGAATTTGAAAATTAAATTGTTTAAACTTTCATGAGACACAATAAGGAACGGCTTAACTCACGTATTATCGTCCGGTGACGACACCGATTCCTAATCCATCGTGGTTTAAAAAGTTTCTAATCAATTTGATCTGGAAGTGTATAATTTAATTAAACAAATAGCGGGATGAATTTAAAATAAAAGAACGCCAATAAAAGTAAATAATTTTATTTCAAGGTTTATAATGCGTCTTTATATCTTTAGAGTACAAAATTATGTTTTCGTTTCAGTCCAATACCATTCGTATTAGTACTTAACATTCAGTCTTCATGCGTACTTTTTCACACGTCCACTTTCTAACAATTTTTAAAACAAAAAAATACATCTGTCATTATTTTGAATCAACTGTCAAATTTGTGTCAAAAAGGCAAAGGCCATTGAAACATAGAGCCATAATAATTTTCTGCCATATTTATTGTGATGAATAAAGCTTTTAAATTTAACTCTTTATTATTAATTCCATTGATGGAATAAATATAACTACACTGGCAGTATTATTTAACATTACATGATAATACTATGATTATATTAATTTACCTATTCTAACAACAATCCTATTCGGAAGCACTGGCTATATAGAAACGATAGATTTCGGCACTTTATATAATTTCTTTACAATTCATATAAGCAATACGGCTGTGATGTGGCTTTTCATGATATTATGAGTACAAAATAAAGTTTGAAACGAAACGTTAATTAATACATACATATTTTATTTTAAATTTTACAGAACGATATAGAATAAAAAAAATAAAGCCACAGCCAACAAATTGGACAACAAAATACATCTTGGCTATATAAATTTCAATGAAAATACTCTTTTTAAAGGCTCACTGAAGTTTCGTCAATACAAATGGTCTGGTCACAATAAAACTGCGCATCTTTAAACAATCTCATAACATCAGATCAATGACAAACACAAAATAAATGGTAACTTTACATAAAAAAAAACTGTGTGAACACTTCTCAACATAAACGCGCATAACTTAGCCGAAATAAAAAAAAACATGACAGTCTAATTAAAAAAAAAACTAAGTATTCTGCGACACCTTCAACCCGTTTTTAAGTCACTAAAATTGGCGTCGCAAGAAATCAATGGAATAGAATCTTTTAAGTTAAAAAAAAGACGGAAAATTAATCGGAAAATCACTCGAAAAATTCCATTCCATTTTACAATTCAGCTAAAATATATACACTATATTAAAAAAATAAATTAAAAACAAACATCTTTAATCACAACCACTCCCTTATCCAAAACAGCTTATTTCGTGGCATTAAAAAAGAAATTTTCTAAATAAATGTCATTCCATTTGCTATTTTAGATATTATTAACTACATTGTTATAATATTAAGGTGATCGATAAAAAAAATAAAAGTAACTGTCGAACTAAAATTCGCTGTAAAATAAACAGCCGAAAATAAAATTGATTAAAAAAGAAAATAAGCCATAGACTAAAAAAAAAAAGTTACGGTGTTGCCAGATTACAAATATTGCCGAAACGTTGGCAAAATTTCATTATCCACCATCAACACAATGTAAAAGTGAAGTTATATTCTCATGGAATCATAAAATCTTTAAACAATTAATTAAATCACCTTAATATTTTGCTCAATCATCATAAATGCTAAAGATGAAATTATTGCATAGACAATAATTTCGACAATTCAACTAAGATTGAATATGCAATTTTATTTAAGTCAAATTATAACTTCTTTATGCATATTCTAAAACATTGAATACAAAATGTAGGGCACAGCCATTTAATGTAATTTAAAGATTTCCTGTCGCATATTTAATTAATTTAATTCCACAAATTACATTACCCTGTTGAACTATTATTTATAAATTTTATTAACTGTTGAATAAAGAAATAATGGAAAAACTTATAGGAAATGTTAATAGTCAAAGAAAATCAAATATTTTGTACCTAAAGCAATCTCCAAGAGATTTTATTGAGGCATTTAAAAATGTATTTTTCGTAGCAATTTGTTTCTATCTATTCTACGATTATTTATATAATCTACACAATGTACGCAATATATCGATCGTATATTAGATTAATACAAAAAGAAATTTCAGTCATATAAAAGGCCAAGCCGTTGATATATTTTTGTTTACACCCTATTATACATGGTGTTTTTTTTATTGCTATTATTGTAACATTATTTAGAGGGGAAAATGTTGCACATAAGATAAAATTTATTTAATACTTTTATGGCAACACTGTTCCCTCTATACAAAACTACAGATTAATTATTGCATTTACAGTGTTACCAGTGTTATACCAATAAATTATAACAGATTTCAATAAAATTAGTGATGTAACTCAGTTTGGTATATTTAATTAGTTAAAAAAGAAATTTCTTAAAGTAACATTTGAGAATAATTCAAGATGTAAAAAAAAAGAAAACCGATTAATATTTAACGTACGAATGTAAATTATGGTCATGAATAAAAATGTACTATATAACTAGGTGTATACATTTTTTAAACATATAGCATAGCTGAAAAATTTATTAAAAAGGCTCAATATTTTTTTAAAATTGAATCACATCACTAGAATGAAATATTAGATATTGTCGTGATATAAAATAAAAAAGGTTCTACTTTAAAAAAAAACTGTAAAATTTGTCTATGCAATAATTAATCCGATGTATAAATTATCACGCAATAACATTTTTTTTATCAGCATATTGGAATAAGGCAATTTACCCTAATACAGTTCAAAGGATTATCGTCGATATCATTTTGTTTAGTAATAAAATATTCCTACGTCCATATTCATGAATATTATCTTGAGCAATACTGGCTCAATATTAAATTAAATATTGCTTTTTTAACACCAATGAAATAGATTTCTTAAAAAAAAATATACAGATAAGAAAAACTTTTATTATCTGTTCAAAATAATGACAGGATTAATCTGTCACATCTACTCTATGAATAAACAAAGATTTTTTTTAATCTATGACAAAATTGAAATCTGTTAAGAATTTCCGGCTTAGAGCCAAGAAGATTATTATTAGAGTGATTTATTATATAGAAATCAATTTCATTGGATACATTAACCAACTATATAGGAACATTAAATTCATGAATGTGGATTTAAGACTACTAAAGCAATCAAAGAACAACTTGGGACATTTGAGAGGCTAAACGATACCGTTTCCTTTCCAACTCTATATTAGTATCTAAGCCACGTTTGACAGCTACATTAGAAGGGGTAACCGCATCTAAACTGGCTTCGATCAATCTTGAAGACCTACAGAATCTGTAATCAGCTGGATTGTTTACTCTTTGACAAGTCATGTCTATAGCTGTTGGTAGACGATAGTAATCTTGGATATTCACATTTGGTGCTGGATTGTTATCTGAAAGATCTAGAACGGAATAAGCATTGTCTAACCTTCGTTCTGTGACTGATCGTTGTCTGTAGTCCATGTTGATGGAACTTGATGTACTGCAGGAACTGGTTGCCGGTGACACTTGGCAAGTCGGTGAATGGCACGGTGTTAAGTTGGGCGAAGTCCTCGCGCTGCCGTAGCCTTGATCTATCTCAGAATCTCCGGTACCATCACGCGATTTTAATATTTGCATCATCCTGAAACAGAATAATTTTTAATATATCAACTTTTATCTACAAATAAGGGTTTTTTTAAGGAAAGTATCAGAATATTCGCTTCTTTGTTATAACCAGTAGAAAGGATATCGACCAAAAGGGATATCGACTTTCTAACGCTTTCACAATGCGTCTTTTCGGCCTTTGATCATCATTTTAAAAAAACTAGTCCTTCGAGCAAGATTTAAAAAATGAATAAATGAAATTAGTATTTCTTTGTTAAGAAACATAGATTATAAAGTTTTTAAGGTTATTTTAAACATCTGTATACGATGATATCTTACCTCTGCAGTAAACGTGCAATAGGTGCAACACTGGTGGGTTTCCTGCCGGTGGCTGTGGCGAGCCAGCCGGGCCACGCGCACAGACCTAAGTCTGCACGAGCACACGCCACGCATGCGCATCCCACATCAACTGATTCCACAACTTTCAAACGCACATCTGGGAACAACGGATTTACAATTAAGAGCTAGTAAAACATTGAAAGAACATTAATTCTTGGTTTCTTAGACCAAAATCCTTGTTTAAAATATATTCATATCTCTGTTTTGTTAAAAATAATGACAGTAATAATGATATGTAACAGGCTTTTAGTCTCAGAAGCCAACGGTAAGTCTTGTTACTTGGAAGCCAACAAATATTTATCCTTAACTCTTAGGTAAATTTATCAACACATTCATAACCTATATGTAATTAAATTTAATTCAAAAAAATTATGGCGATAACTTTTAAACATTTAAAAAGGTAATAACTCACCAGACAATGTCAAATCCAAATACGCCTCAAGAAGTTTGGCACCATCTCGCTTGAAGCGCCTCACAAACTTGGGATGTCTAGTGGTCAGGTCACTATCTGTGATGACATACTGCGCCAGAAGCGCTGCGAATGTTACCGGAGTGGGGGCGAGAAGCCTCCACCGTACATGCTGGCCAACCATCCACTCTAATTGTCTGAACGTCTTGCCGCAGAGCTGAACACCACTTACTTTGGATAATGTTTTCAATGTTGGTGCCCGACTGAATTTCTCTTCACTTTTTGCTATAAAACAAAGATATTTACTGAAATACTGAATTATAATTGTACTGAAAAATAGACGTGATTTTACATATAGGGTCAAGAGCAGTCTAAAACCTTACCAAAAGTTGGTAAAAACTATCAGATGATTCTTTAAAAGCTACCCTGCCTTTTGGGGGAACACGGGGTTATAGGGAAGTTTAGCCAACTTCCAGGATCTTAAAGAAACACACAGGAACTAATGGACAATCCCTAAGGTGACAAAGGATCGTGAAAAAGAATGAAATAAATATCTATAAACATTGAGCGCTTGGTGGTGCAGGGGAAAGTGGAGGGCACCAGACTACGGGGAAGACCGCCCATGAGGTGGACCAATCAAATCAGAGTGGTTATAAATGTCCCCTACACCAATGTACTAAAAAGGCAACAACTAGGGGGACGAGTGGCGGTGTCTAATGAATTGGGTCAATGATACTTGGTGACCATGACCAGTCTGAAAAGATTAAAAAGAAGAAGAAAAATCATCAGTTAAATATTGCCCACCTGCTAAACTGAGACAGGCTAAAGCAACATGTGTGAGTCTATCAGAGCGCAGTCTGTGTGCGTCCATGAACAGGTCCAGTTGCGCGACAGCTGAGTGCAGCGTTGCCAACGTGAGACCGAGCTTCTTTGTGACGTCACGCAGTTGCTGCACTAGAGCGCCACGGAATTCCAACTGAAAAGACAATTTTAGTTACAATTTATACTAAATGTATGAGTTTTTCTATATCACTGTAAAATGTGTGAAATAAATAATTATTTTCTTTGCTAATAGACAATTTTTTTTTATAAAATTTCATAATAATTGAGTATATCGGCTCAATGGATCTTGCTGAATTTTGGCATACATGTAGAATAGTCTGGAAGAACACGTAGACTAATTATGTCTTTTTTAATCCGCACAGACGGACTTAATAGCAAGTTGCACATAAATTAAAGTATGATTTAGGACTTAATAGTTATGTAAAATTAAAATAAATCATCATCTACTTATTTAAGCAGAATATACCTATATAAACCTATAACAGGAAAGCTATAGATTTTAAAAACAAAATTGTTGTGCAATTTTTAACATACAACCTGTATTACAAAATTCACTATAAGAATTGCAATATGAAAGTATAACAACATATTATATACAATTGCATCATCTATAATTTGAGACATTATTGAGATAAACATTTTTAAGTGGCATGAACCTGACAAACAGAAGAATGTCATTTAGTAAGACAGTTCAGCTCAGCAGAATGCATAACTAGGTGACAGAACTCCGTCTGCCCAGAATTAAAAAAAAATCCTTAATTAGTAGCTTATGTGTTCTTTCAGACTATGTTCTACATCTATGCAAAATATCATCAAGATCTGTTGAGATGTTTTCGACATTACAAGGTATCCATCCATTCATCCAAACATTCATATTTATAATGTTAGTAAGGCAGAATTTCATGTTGACTCGGGAAATTTCATCAGAATGGGGTGATGGATGGGGTTGATAGTTTAATTTAATAACATTTAGTGTTTTTCAGTTCTTCTACCTCCTGCTATCACTTTAGTTGTAATGGGGAAAATTCAGAATAAGTAAAACAGTGTAACACAAAATGATAAACAATGCTAGTGACGTTAATTATATTTAAATGTATTTATTTCTTGATAATGTGAATTTATTACACTTTCATATTGAAAGCATTATTATAAAATTTACATTGCCTTATTTTGTACAATGTTATTTAATTTTACATAAAATAACTTTACATAGCTGTTAAATTATAAGCTGATGTAATTTTATATATCTTTGTAATAATTATGCAACTTACTTGTGGAGATTGGAGGTGAATTATTGGTTTTTGTGCCTCTTGTTCTAGTAGATTTTTCCATATGTCATCTCTGTACTCACAATAATATTCGTCGTCGGGGTCCACAAGCATTGGCTAAAATAAAAATAAATTTTTAACACATTTTCTTTGTTAAAGTTATTCTTATAAAAATTTTTCAGTTAGCATATGTTAGGAAGTTTTTCTCTACTCGATGTTTTAAAGTCACGGAACAAAGGAACTTTTCTATTAAAGCGCGATTGTCACATGGTTACAAGTAAAATATTGAAAAATTATTGTCATAAAATTAAAATTATTTTCAGCGAATAACATATTTTACTATAGTTAAAACTGTGAGAACAATGCAATATCACGTATCAATTGATAAAGTTAACACAACTTACACTTATTTCGATCTTCACCTCAGATTTCTCGGGTTTTATCACAGTATCATTTGAGGTTTGGCTCCTCACACTCGACAAATTAAGCTTCGACATGTTTAAGGACTCCATTGCTCAAGGAATTGCTTAAGCTTTAAAAATACCCACTAAAAACTGAGCTGAAATTAACACGTCGACTTTTTATATGACAGTCACCACGTGGAAACAAATGTCAAAAAACTCTGGGCATCATCTCGATTTTGGTGAATAATAAGGAAAGCGCTAGTTCATGTGCTTCGATCACTTGTTTCATGCTATTCAGTCATAAAATTGGAGAAGATATTGCACATGGAATTATAACGTCCGACTACATCATGATGCAATTCCCGCAGCATTTTGACATTGACACAGAGTGAGCAATAATTTGACTGACGGCACCGCTGCCAAAGAGTAAAATTTTACAATGCCTCGGTTATGCCAAAGAGAATATTCAGTTAATTAAATTAAAAGGTCAAATGTTTCCATAGAAAAATGAATGAGTTTTATTTAAACGTACCTGTTCATATTTTTGATATTTTGGGCGATACATTTTTACGTACTTCAAGGTAAATAATAACAGCCTTAACATTTATTATGAACAAAATGATTATGACCATATATGGTCATTCGCGGTTTATTCTATAGTTCTACCAACATTTTAGCATAAAAAATAGTGATGTGTAAGTCGATTTTTGATTTATCGATGCTACCTCGTTTGGACGTTAACGATTTGAAAGAACTTTATACTTGACAAAATATCTTTGGCTACGCCCAACTCTTCAGTGGAGACCGTGTGCTCCAAAAAGCCTTAGTTGCACCAAACACAATTTAAGAAGGTACTCTACCTATTACTGTTTACGATCTTAAAAACTTACCAAACGTTACCTAAGTCAAAATAAAATGTACGATGAACAACAAATATATTGAAGAAAATAACACCACCATGGTTTTATAGTATGATAGTCGTAGACGAAAAAGCTAAGAATATCGATAGTTGCTCCAAACGGTCCCTGCTCACAACACTAATTCTTATCTTTACGTCACGTCATTTTCGGTAGGCTATGGAGTAATAGCGGCTGATTTTGTTTTTCTAGTTAAATTAAAAAGTACTGATCTATACTTAGTTAAGCTTAGAAAGTCTAGTGAACATTTATTTAATAACAAAGTTGTAATGTCTTATTCAAACAGTGAGTAAAACTTTCCTAATTTTCAAGTGTCGGTAGGAATGGTGTTGCACGAGAAACGAGTTTTCCGATTTTGTTTGTTGTAAAATACTGATTTAGTGTTTCGGTATTTGCAGAATATACTTTTGCTGCCTTGCCAAGGACGCAGCGAGGTACGCCCCTGGTTTTAGGAGCTGATCCGAAAGGAAAGAATTTCCTTTACACCAACGGAAACTCTGTTATAATACGGGATATCGAGAACCCGGCCATTTCAGATGTGTATACAGAACATTCGTGTCAAGTTAATGTCGCTAAATATTCACCGAGCGGCTTCTACATTGCTTCCGGAGGTTAGTATGAAAAAGCTTTAACAATATTTCCATTTTTGGTATTTGCATGTCTTGTGACTCATTCGAGATATCTCTGTAAGATTATCATTCCAGTTTACCACAATTATAAGCTGTTATTTTGTAGATTCTTTTGTCACATAGGATTTTATATTAAAAAAAATTGTGACAATCTTATAACCTCCCTGAAGGTTTATATTTAGGGGATTTACATACATGTTTGAAATATGTCTTATTAGATAAGCATGAAGCAAATGCAATATGAAAAATTTACAAATTAGTTTACAGATAGAACTGTAATTATACCTTGAAATACTTAATATTGCAACCAAATTTTAGAGCAGTTGTTTTCCTACAAACATTATTTAAAGATATATAACTCTGTTACTCTGTCTGGGTGTCAGCTATTTACTTATATCTCTCCTCCGACTCTAGTACGATCTACACTTTGTTCTACATCTGTGTCAAATTGCAGTAAGATCCATTAAGCAGTTTTTAAGATACTTTCAAACAAACATCCATCCATCTAAACTTTCGTATTTATAATATTATTAAGAAGATAAATAGTTCTTTTGTTTGTAAACAAAAATGTTTCTTGACCATTTCCAAAACTATTACTCTTCCTCATTGAGGTTTCTTACATATACAGAATAGACTATATTATTGGGATGTGTCATATTAATTTAGTAATTTTATCTATATTAAAGGAGTGTTTAAGATATGTTTTAATTTATGGCCATTTATACTAAAATATATGATAAAAAAGTTATAATCTTTAGATATAATTATTTCCCGTGTCTTTTAAACAATTTTATATTTTCTCAATTAACTATTGAATATTAATAGATTTATTAAACTAGATAAAAAATACAGGAAGCTGTATCTAACCAAATCCTATTTTACGGTTGAAGATACCAATATCCTAAGCATTTACCATTTGCAATCGGCATTCTATTTAACGGAAGACATGGACATGCTTTCAGAAATACATCAAGTTAGGTACAGTTTATTATATGAATGATTAACAGTGGATTTCTGAGAATAAAATCCATATTTAAAACATATTGCTATCTCTGTTTTGTCAAAGATATTGACAGGGATGAGAATATGTTTTATACAGGTTTTGGTCTTAAAAACCAACTGTTAATGAATTTAATTTGCAAATAACTCATCCCTATATTATATTTTTGTTATTAAAAATTATCAGCAGTGAAGTAGATATGAACGGGGATTTTCGTGTTACTGTTTATTTATAATTTTATCAACAGATTAAAATAGATTATTGACACGCCCATGAATTATTTGCCAAAAACTTCTAATTAATAAAGTAGAGCATCAGTGGCTCAGGAGTTAAACACTTGATATATAATCTGCAGGTCCTGGGTTCCAATCCCGCCATATACAGTGTTTTTTGATTTTCAATTTCCATATGTACACTAGCTGTCGCCCGCGACACTGTGCGCGCGGGATTAAATAGATGGCCGATTCACAAACCTACTCAATATGCTCACAAAATTTCATGAGAATAGGTCAAGCCGTTTCGAAGGAGTATGGGAACGAAAATTGTGACACTAGAATTTTATAAATAAGATTTATCCGACATACTTACGGTTAAGCAAAACATCGCAATGCTGTACATATCTGCGAAGAAAAATTCAAAGATATATGTGAAGTCAACCGGCATTGGGCCATCGTGGTTAACTATCTGCTAATCACCCCAAACAGTAGGCTCCGAGTCCTTCAGTGGGGAAATAGTAAGCTGATGATAAAATTAAATTGAATTGTTATTTCGAATTTAATAAAAGACTGCTTCTATATAGATATCCATTATGTGTACAGTTAGTCGGGCGTCGGGCACAATTTGTTACGCTTGCGGTCTTTCACCCGACAGAAAAAAATAATAGTGAAGCACTTTTATAAACAAAAGTACACGGCGTACAAAACAATAATATCTTACGAACTATCTAACATTATTAGACTTTATTAGTTAAAGAATAAAATGTATGAAATGCGTATTTATTTTAAAAGTAACTGTCAATCGCAACTCCGCGCGGAAATAAAAAAATAATAGTTTTACACATTAATTACAATCCTTTGGCGCGAATGGAGTGCACATTACCAAGTCAAGTGTCTTGAATGATTACTAAGGGGACATAGACGTCGACATTTTAGTAAGGCTAGTGTTGTGAACACCGGCATAGTTTCGGATTTTACTCCTAACAGTAGCATATCTGTATTTTCAGCTATGTTTAACATCTATGCCAAATTTTAGCAAGATCCATGCAGCCGTTCTGGAGACACCTTGTAACAAACATCCATCTATCCATCCGTCTATACATACATCCATCTAAATATTCGCATTTATAATATTAGTAATATAAAGAAAGTTGTTCCGTGGTGGAAAAACGCGGTAACTAATTATCTAACAGGATTTTAAAAGTAGATTCGGTTTTGTTTTCTTCGTATTTATTTATCGAAAACAATTGTTTTCACCTCTAAAAGTTTTATACATCGTCCAAGATTCGACTTGCGATCTCTAGGTTCGTAGGCGGGCCGGCTATCCATTTGACTATCGCGACACATTTAGTTTAGGAATTAGTTATTCATAAGACCAGTCGGTATTTTGGATAGCGGCCAGTTTAATTCCTACTGTTGTGAGGTTGACGATTTATTGTGTAAGTTATGAATTTTACCAAGAGTTTCCACACGAATACACCTATACTATAAATAATACTAATTGTTGATTAAAAAAAACTAAAACTCAACGGACTTTACACTTCAAGAATCACAATGGATAAATATACCCTGATATATGCAATTTTTTGGATGTACGGATAGATGTTTGTTGGAAGGTATCAATATAATGGCTAAATTTGGTGAAATTTGATATAAGTAGGACATAGTCTGGAGGAACATAGTTTATTTATGTTCCTTGAACAGTACAGTTCTTAGCGATATATTTAATTTATATATTTACTCGATTATTCTGAAATTAACATATCTAATTGGAATTTGGCACAGATATACATCTGTAATAACACACGTGATAATATTCACCTTTTAATTCATAGCAGACGAAGTCGAGTGTATAAGCTATAAGAACATACATATGCGAAAACATTACCATTTTGTGATTAGCGTAAAAATATACCGTAGTTCGACTTAAAGTCGCCAAATTAATCCTACATAGACGTATTCTAATACGGTTTCTAATCTTGAATCGTGTTCAAGACAACTTAGAAGCCGTAAGTTTGAATATGTTGGGGCAAATACCATTGAAAAAACGAAAACGATGACGTTCTTTATTTGAATAGATTCGTCTGTCAACTCCACTCAGAGTCCTTAGATCCTATTTTACTAATATTATAAACACAAATGTTTAGATGGATGGATGTTTGTTTGAGGGTATCTCCGGAACAGTCGCTTGGATCTCGCTGAAATTTGGCATAGATGTAGAACATAGTCTGGAAGAACACATAGGCTACTTATTAAGTTTGTTTTTAATTTAGTGCGGACGGAGTCGCGGGCGAAAGTTAGCTACATATTTAAGTAAAGTTATAGAATGTGAGTTCAAATATTTTTACGCAAACTTTCTCGTATTTGCATAAAGGATTTACGCTATATAATTCTGACTACAATGGGTCATGGTCAATGATTTGACATTAACATCCGTAATGTACTCATTAATTGAATTAATTTTCCTTTTGTACACGTTACGATTCAACGCCGAAATAAAGTAGACAAGGGAACATTAGTTACATGGCGGCCATGAGGATACACTTTTGTGAAAATTGTCAGATAAAGACATAAAAAAATCCACACGAATTGACTCCTCCTTTTTGAGGTTGGTTAAAAATGTAGTAATACTGTTAAATAATTGTATATTTTTTTTACATAGTTAACGAGTTTTGTCCAGTCCAGTTTGTTTATAGTCAAGGGTCCGGTCTTACTAATTTTACTTCTTACTGCTTATCTTACTAATATAAATACGAAAGTTTAGATGGATAGATGCATGGATTGATGTTAGAGGGTATCTCCGGAACGGTTCAACGAATCTTGACGAAAATTGGCACAGATGTAAAACATAGTCTAAAATAACAAGTTTTTTTTAATACATCGCGGATAGAGTCGCGGGCCATAGCTAGTAAGATGTAATCTTTCTCTTACGCATAGTAACAATGTTATACGATTGTATATTCTAAAAGTTCACATAATGCCTACATACGAGCAGCTATCATAGAATCTAAGCGGTTAAAATTGGCATAGTTTCTCGCTCTAGTTGGCATTGTGCCGAGATACGTTTGTACGCCGGTTGTCTTTGTGTGTGTTTGTATGATGCTTGTCAAATTAATCTTTTGATATTTATGTAGTTTTTAAGACTATTTTTAATTTTGCACCAATGGTTTAGTGGATAAAGGTAGAGTTATATAAAATAGGGTTCAAATTCAATGTAATACAACTTAATACTAACTTATGATGTTTTTTTCTTAGATTTTTTACGTCTTTTTAAGTTTATTAAATTATTCAAACTATCGTGAGATATTATACTAAACTGATATATAAACACGGCTAAACACTCAGTGAGCGACGGGCCACGTCCGCGAAATAATACCAGTCCCAGTCATCCTGATGAAGGGCCTCCGATGGGCTCGAAACTAGTCGGTGCCGCCACCGTACGAATATACGTGAGTGTTTAGCCGTTTTTATATATCACTTTTTAAGGACACTTATTTGAGGACAAACAAGTCTTCGATCTCTCGGTCATCGAAGATAGGTTTAAGGTTTCAGAAATCAGACCAGGTTCAGTCTACGATTAAAAAATAAGCCTAGTCATGGTTTCACGGTAATAAAGCTTGAAATAATAATTATTCCAGATGCTTCCGGCAAGGTTCGTATTTGGGATACTGTCAACAAGGAACATATCCTCAAGAATGAATTCCAGCCCATCGGAGGACCTATCAAGGATATTGCATGGAGTGCTGACAGTCAGCGAATGGTCGTTGTCGGTGAAGGACGTGAGAAGTAATGCTACATTTTAATTTTATT